ATAAAATACAGTACATACAAAGCAGAACACAGCTAAATGTACCAAAAGCATGTCTCTGTAATAGAATTTTCTGAGACAATGAACTTTGGTTTTTCATTTTTTACCCCTGTAAGAGGTTTTTATTTAATAGAATTTTTGGACAAAAAAATCGCAATATATCGCCTTGCTTATAGTATCGCAATATATCGGGATATATCGTATCGTGACCCATCTGTCATGATATGTATCATATCGCCAAATTCTTGCCAATACACAGCCCTATTTCAAACTGAGAACTCTGAACTCAGATCCTCTGCTGCACACATAGTGCTCTAATCATTAATAATAATATTTAATAAAAAGTTAACAGCCCTGCAAAATAGGTAACATCATTATGTGTATTATGTCATATTTCTTCACTATTAAAATGTTTTCGTTCCATTGTCTGTATTTGTTGGAAATCGGAATCCTTCAATTTGAAGAATCATTCTCAGTTTCAAACATTGGACATGCAAAGATAAAATAAAGTGACTCAGTATAAAAAGGAGGCTTTACTCAAGTGAGAATGTGAGTTTTGGTACTACTTAATGACCAATTCTCAATTCCATGATATAACATCACTGAGTAACTCTCTGATGTCAGTCATTTATAAAGGCAAGTCAGTCAGCAAGCCTGTTTGTTAATAGCTATGATGTTCTCTTTACAATTAAATAAAAGCAAAACCTTACTCTTTGAGTTAAACATTCCATATTTTATACCATCACAAACAATATTGTGCTAAAATGAGTTTATTTGTTTCCTTACTAAGAATCTTGTTAATGTTTAATCATTYCCAGCTGCAGTAACGACCACCATAGGAAAAGGCCTCTGATTGTGTTTGATGGGAGTTCCTCTCACTCCGGCTCACTAAAAGTGAACAAACCAGATGGATCAACAGCGCCACCTGTGRCCGACAGGTTAAAACCTCCTCCAGCTGCAAACCTGTCCAACCCGATCCGTAAGCTCAACTCATCCTCTTCTTCCTCGTCTTCAAATCGCAGCACAGACACGGCAAACCTCAAACGAGAAGCCAACAGTCCGGTAGGAATGTCTTGTTATGTCTCTAAAATGTCCGTGTTGTGCCTCTTTGTGTTTTTGACAAAATGATCCAATTAAAGGAAGAATTTAAAAAATGTGTCTCACCCTGAAACTTCAGAACATTAGGAGGAAAATCAATAAGGATTGATGGCAACAATGCTCTAAATGACTTATCCATTGACCATTTGATCTGTATGCTGAATTCATTTGAACAAAATTTTATTTATTATTGCTCATTTTCTTTTCTCCAGAGTCCACTAAAATCACCAGAAGTGAAGAAAAAGATTCAGCATGTTACATGGCCCTGACCTCTGACCCCAATGGCAGCTAATCKTATTGGTTTCCTCTTCCATCTTGGAGCCCACCCACCCCTCACAATCTTCCAACAAACGTATTTTTAGAAAGCTTGTCAGATGTGAGTAAATGCCACGTTATTGTTCTTGTTCATTATAGAGAGCTGACACTGCAGAGTGATGCTCAGGAGATCAACCAGCTTGTTGAAGTCACAACCTTTATTATTTCTTCCCAAAACCTCAAGTGCCCTTGCTGTTATTATGGTCAGCATTTCCTCTTGAACAAAATGTTGAAAATTACTTTTTTCCAACCTGAAACCTGCATTTGATTACTGAATTTACTGGGTGATTTTGTGTTTTTTGGAAGGAAAGCTGAACAAAAGGTCACATGAAAGCATTATGAGACCCACCTTGTTTTGATCACAACATGGTAAAAAAATGTATACAAAAACATTTTAAACTGGTTATTCAGTAACTGTTTTGTTTTTCCATTCCACAAAATATCAACATTTTATCCAGTGCTTTTTTTACACAATGTTTTAGTTTTTTCATTCTTACTTTGAAGTGACGTTGTACATGTTGTAAATAACTTGAAGCTGAACACTCAGGTGGATCAGAATTCATTATTGGACATAAAAAAAACTCACCTCAAAAGATTTAAACAACAAGTTGTTATGAATAAAGCTAAGAATTCACAATTTTTAAATATTTACGGTATTGTTTTGGATAAATTAATTTATCYGCTGATATTTTTGATGTAGATGGAGTTCATCAAAGAACTCAGAGGAATAAATGTTTTGAACTAGAAATATGTTTGTTGTTWCCAGCAGTTTTAAAATAAATTTTCAATCTAATGAATTGCTGTYGTCTGTTTATTTCCAAGGAAAAGGAGCCATTTTCTGTTTGATATTATTCTCTTAACATTTGCAAAATGTTTTCATATTAAGTTATAAAGAAACACTTTAAAGGGGCAATATCATGTAAAATCAACTTTTTTGAATTTTATATCATGTTATAATATTATACTGCCGTAAAAAACATGCCCATAGCCTTGCTTTGACTCATTCATGCATGTTTGAGAAATCCTGCAGTGTTTTTAGGAAGCCATGCTGAGGAGCAAAACGACAGGTGGGGACCAGAAACGCCTTTTGGGACCAGAAACACCCCTGGGACGTGTCTTTAAGCCGAACTTCCTCATCACAGAGCACACCTCCCCACCCACRACTCCTGCAGGCTCTCGCCAGTAACAAAGCAAACAACGAGTGAAACTGAAAGTGAAACTGTCTGCTGAGCTCCTTCTCACTCAGTGAAGSTCTTTCAAAATACCTTTGAGGAAATGTATTTTCAGATGCCAAGTAGATCATAGCACCCCCCATGCTGAATTGGGTGGGACAGAAGCGGAAGGTGGTTCTTAAAGAGACAGAGGCCAATTTCAAGGCGTTTAGAAG